TTTTACCATTGTTCGGTGCTGATGGCAACAGTGCATTGACATTGAGAGATCCAGAAGAAATGGCAAAACGTCTTGAAGGCATCCCGTTTGTAGACACCACTACCAAAGCAGATGATGAAACTTACATCCCTATTGGCCCAATCAAATCGGAGGACACCTATCCAGGAACATTGAGAGATCCAGAGGAGATCGCTAAACGTCTTGAAGACGTCCGATTCGAAACCACCACTCCCAAAGCCGACTGTAAACCTGTTACTTCAGTGGAATTTTTCAACGGTTTTTTCTAAACCTTCAAAAGTTTAGAACGATTCATTGGACATTCTCAGCTTTTTCAATTGCTCAAAAGCAATAATAATCTCGAAAGATATTATGTTGTTTCGTTAGAAAAAATCCATACGTTTAATTAAAAGAAAAACGTTGTAGTCACTGAGCTCATTATCTTGAACTCAACAGCTAAAAATATTCTCTTTGGAAACGGAATTAATTAAAATCGAAATAATGAGTTGGATTATGTTCCGAAGCAGATTCTCATGAATAAATACTTTCATAACAAAATGAAACACATGTCTGTTGTTTTTTGGTGGTATTAATAAGTTGTTTTCTTCAACTTTATTTCGATTAGTGGCAATTTAACAATGTTTAAAATTAGAACAGCTCATATAATTATTATAGCCAGGTCATGAGCGGCGTTTATTCGATTGAAACACCTTGTTTTGTAACTTTCTCGTTTCATAACATTTTTCATAGCTCTTATTATCAGGCTTTGTTATGCGCTAAATCCATCACGCTGAATATGTGATAAATGTGATGCGCTCGCTTTGCGGTGAACGAGGTATGTTGCTCTTCACTACCGCTTAGCGATGCGTTCACTGCAAAGCATGAACGTTCATGCGTGAACAACTGAAGAGCAAAAGACTTCGTTCACCGCAAAGCGAGCGCATAACATTTATTGCATGAATCTATCGCATGAATTTATTCAGCGTGATGGATTTTGCGCATTACAAAGTCTGCTTATTATATTTACGAATGGTTCTCTTGATAAAATACGGAATCTTGAGCATTTTTGTCTGGCGTTTTGATGCCAACTATATTTCCAATGGCCACTTCGAAATATTCATTGTCTACGACTTCATCGCTCACGTAATAATGTTTATCTCTTAGAATGCTCGCCAAGCGCCCTTGATGAAACAGCTGATGCCCTACGTCTTCTTTGTTCTCTACAGGAGCTGCTTGAGCAGCTAATCCGATTGAAACAATCGTCAAAAGTACAACAGTTGCTTTTGTTTTGAATCGGACTTCGATTGAATTGACTAGACGATTTAATATAACTTGGAAACGATTGCAAATTGGTCGATCTTATACGAAATTTGAGTCGTCTTAATCGGCCATGCGCTATGATGAAAAAAGATTATACAGATTGAGTAGTCACAGTAATTTATGATTGAGTTTTCATTCCAGACTAGAAGTATTCAAAACAGCGCCTTTATTTGCATCTTTTTTTCTTTCAAAACATAGTTTATGGTTCAAAGAAGCTTGAATGAAGTGTTTTTCTGTCTGTGACACAATCGACTACCACATTTTTATGTTGCAAATTTACGAAACAAACGACTGTGTCGAAATGTAAACAAACACTTGTGCTATCTCTTTGATAGCGACCCACTTCATTGACTGTGATTTCGAAATAATGAACAGAACAAGTAGAACAAAGAGAAAACTTTTCAATATTTACCAAAATGAAATTGAATCATTTGCATTTCGGGCAATTTCAAAATAATTTCTGTTTCTAGTCACGAATTATATTGCACAATTTCAGTAGCATAGTGTATAAATAAGCGACACGTTTTAGCTATTCAACTATTTGGTCGAGTAAACTGTGCGCTTAAAGTTGTAGTTAAATTGAATCTCAAGATGTTGTTCTGTTCACTGTTCACAATTCTCGTGCAATGTTGTGCAGTAAGTCAAAAGTAGAAATGGTCATGGTGCATCAACTACTCTAATTCGGTTTCAAGTCTAACAATAGTTTTTGCATATACTTATATATGATATACCATTTGCAGATCAATATGGCGATAGTTTCGCGTGATACACAAGCAAGCGTTAACTTTAAATATGAGCCGGGCTCAATTGTGCATTCAGGAAGAGTGACTGTACGACAGATAGATGCTCCAGTGCAGCCAATTGTCGTTTATCGCAAGTTTCCCATTCAACCGAATGCATACAATAGACAAAACAACTTGCTTAGTTTGCTGAACATCGACAATCGGTTGAACACAACGAAAACAACAACACCAACAGCAATAACACCGTAGCAACGACGAAATGTACAACAAAAAGTGCTTTAGGCGACATTGTAAAATGAATTCCATTACCCTGAACTGAGAATAAATCGCGAATCTGTGTGACAATATTCATGCGTTTTCTTTATCTGCCTTGAACTCTTGAGCTGTGTGTGACACGACACACACACACACACGGTTGGGAGAAATATGTTTTGGGAATTCAAACTGGCGGGGTTAAAATTGTAATCAGTGATTTGTCAAGCGTATTTCTTTGTGTCACAAAAATGTTGTGTGTGTGTTTGGTAAGAGAAAATACCATAAGGTTTACGTCTCATGAGTGTGCTCCATAAATGACTTTGGGATATATGTATGTGTACCAGTTGGAATGCTTTGAAATACTTACTGAAATGTGCAAATCGTGCGCTTTTGTTTAATGTTTGTGTGTATATCATATACAGCGTGAAAACTGTCACCATGAAGTAATCTTTGTTAAGTTTTTCCTCCCCGAAAACTTGCTTTGATGTGCGCTTCTTCCGTTTTTTGCGTGTGTGCTTCTGTTATGTCATGGGGAATGCATATTTCCGGCAACAGATGAAAAGACTCCAACAACTTGATGGAATAAACGTGCATGATGTGCAGATTATATGTTTGCATCAACGTTTTGGCTTTTCGTTTGCATTGCAACTGTCTAGAGAATTCACTTGAATTTTTCTTTCAATCAAGATATCATTTTTATTCATTTACTGACGTGCAGTTCCCAGTTGCACGTACTTCTTTGTATATATTTTTAGAGTGTGATAGTTAAGTTCCGGTGTGAATCAGCAAAACAACGTCAGCACGAAAATTTCACCGAATCATGCAGTCACCTTGCGTTTACAAGCTAAATTGGCCGCAGAAAATGGTTCAGTGAATGCAAACCGAGAAAAAAACCCACCATACAAATATTATGTTTACCTAGATCCGCTTAATCTGTTTTCATTACGCTTTAACGGAAATGATTTCGTTTTTGTAGTGCAGCAAGAAGGGAAGCGGAAAAACCGAAACAAGGTTAATGTTAATGTCAAATTCATTGTTTAGCTCGAGTACTACTTGTCTTTCATCTAGCGCGACTTCCAATTTATACTTTACTCAGCACCTCCACGAAAAAAATACCATTTTCAGCGTAAAATTCAACAGAAATATGGTTAAGTCAGTGAAACCGTTCAAATTGAATTCTTTTTCACGAATAGAACCGCTTCGAGAGTGGAGACTGCTTTTGTAATTTTATCATTCGGATGAGTGCATTTTAAGTTTTCGCAGCACGTAATTTAAACATAATTTTTCTTCATTCCATGCCACATACTTTTTCAACATTTGCTGCAAAGTCTTGTTCTTTTGAGCTTGCGATGGATTTCCAGCAGTGGTCGTATGTTTTCATTCGAAACTGTAAAATATCTAAGAGAAAAAAGTGTTTTAACAACGTGTTCCATTCTTCTCCCTTCCTTTCTCTCTCTCTCTCTCTCTCTCTCTCTCTCTCTTCCTCATTACTTTTTTTGTCACAAAAACCGCTCTAAGTGGCTTAACGAAGAAGAGAAAACCGAAACTTGATGAAATTTACTAAACCAGCAAAATAACAAGCTAAACACGATTTTTTTGGCGTGTACGTCCTTAAACAAGTAATCAAACCATAGCATTACATATGCATTATGCAAGTTATCTTATGCTTCATATTCTCTGCAACGAACTGTGCTGCTGCTACGTGATTGGGTGAGTACATGCGCTTTTCAATGCCTTTGTAAAACGGGTATCTGCGGATGACAAATAGGAAGCAAATCAAAACTATACGAAAACACTAGCAGCACACGGTTTGTACGAGAGAGTTCGGCAAACACGCCGAAAGCGGGAGACTAGAAAAAAATTATTAGATTTGCTTTTGTGTTTATTACGATGCAAACAATGAACTAGTGTTTATGAAATGTATTGCAATCTATAGCCGAATTTATTTGACCTGTTAAAATGCTGAGCATATTTCGCGTTGTCGACGCTGTGACAGGCCGCACAGCTTTCATATGTATTACTGCAGCCACTTACTACTGCTTTTTCTCCACATTTTATTGCACTTTACTGATACGCTCAACTGTATGTCAACCTGCAAATGCAGCTGTTTTACTTGAGGGGATTTTTCAACACACACACACACACACACAGAGAGAGAGAGAGAGAGAGAGAGAGAGAGAGTGAGTGCGACACACAAATATTCATGATTTACTAGCATTCTCTTTGACAAAATGAAAACGAGCGAGGAAGAGTGCTGCTGTTGCACATACAAAATCTTCTTCAGTGCCACAACTTCGAATATAGCTAATGGCTTATTCAACGTCATTTCACGACAATAGAATCCAATATAGAGCATTTTATGGGTCACCACAAAATAAAGAGCAAAACTCTACAGTTTGTATGTGTGTTAAAGCGCTTCACCTCTGCATAAGCACCCGAACCTCCGTTGAAAATGATATGCACTGTTGGATTTCGAAACGATTTATAAATGACATCTCAATGAAACGATGTGTCACTTGGAATTTTGATTTTATTTAATGGTGAATACACACTCCAGCGATCCACAAACATAAATCTCTTCTACTGATAACTGCTAAGCCAATAAAAGAGCCTGGGCAAATACGACAAATGTGTAGAACGAAAGCATAGAATAAAAAAACAGACGAGAATACAAAAAAACAGCCGACGGCTTTACAACGTCACACACGTACTCGATTTTAATTTTCTCCCGTAAACAGACAAATGCACAACTATTTTTTTTCTGTTCATTGCGTTCGCCACATTTGGCGAACAACTTTCCTAACTATAGATTCGGTATCGCCGAAAAAATCATTCGGTTGTGCCGGTCGTGCTCTTTTTGTGCGTTTCGAACGAATTGGGTCACCTACAGCCGTTTGAGCGTGATAGTAATCATCTAGTGTGCTAGCATACACTTTTTCAGAACCATCAAATGCTTGATCTGCATATTTATAAGGCACTACATCAACGTCTCTGGACCGACCGTATTCCTCAACAATTGATTCAACGTTTATCGGTACCTCCAGTTCAATCTGCACAAATAGATTTAGATACGTTATACAAGGTGGTGATCGTTGCGTACTCGGTCGCCATTCATGGACTTTCGATTTTTTCGAACACACACGATATTTGCTATTTTGAGTGTTGATTCGACGGATTAAATGACTGTTTACGGTAATTTCGAGTGGTACAGAAAATTTTGTAGTTTTCCCAGGCGTTGCATTGATATGCGGTATACGGGCTGGTTTCGCAGGTACCGCAGATGGGATATCGTCTACTGCACTCACGACCACTGTTAATCGAGTCAGTTCTGGTGAAGCAGTTTTTACGGGCACGCAATTGATTCCCTGTATGTGAAAAATGTACAAATTCATCTCAGAATATGAAGTACTATTTGCATTTTACCCACCTGAAGTACGAAAGCCAATTGCACTCCAACGATGATTAACTTCGATAGCATCATCCAACAAAAGAAAAGAACATTTAAATTGATAACAACCAAATTGTTTGCTGTCAAACTTTGTCTCGCTCACACCAATTGTCTCACTGACTCGTCCGTGTACGAATTGCTGTTAGCATAAAAGAGATGTTGTTCGCAGTAAACTCAGTTTAGATGTTCTTTGAAAATATTCCTATAAGATTCACAGAATTCAACTAGGTTTTTCTTCTAATAAAGTTCCATCTCGTTTAGATGACACGATTGAATGACAATACGAAACAAAAAATAACAATGAAACCTATTGTCAAGTTAACTGAACCTCTAGTACGAATAAGTGATGTGCGCGCAGCATTGAAACGAATCGTTCATAACATTGAAACAAGAAATTTTATATACGAATATGTTCTGGTTTCAGCTATTTATTTAGTTTTTATAAAATATGTCATTGCTTGAAATGAATATAATAATGGGATTGTTCAATTCAAATGTTCGATATGAAATTCCGAAAACACCTGGTTTTTCTCATCGCAAAATGTTTAAAAAAATAAAAAAATAAAAATTCAATGAGTTTGTGAAATTACAAAATGTTGTTTTGAATTTAAACAGATGTGCCCTAGAAATCGAATTCACTTTGATCCAAATGACATGTTCGATTGATCCGAAAACCATTTTGAGACGATGGTCATGTTATTGATAGGTGTATCGATTACTTACGTTCCTATACAGAAAACGTACGATGCTCGGTCCGAAGTTCAGATTCTGAGCATGTATAGAAATTTATCGAATTTCATTAGTGCACATTGTATCAAAATTCATGCGTTGGGTTTGGGTTGTTGGTTTCGGTTTGATGCCTAAAGTCGTATCTGCGGTGTAATTTACGGTAATAAATACGTCTGCAAATGTTCTTTCCATACGCATTGAAATGTATTTCACCTCTTTCGCCCAGTGGCTTCGTGCTTTCAAATGGTGGTGATGGTGATTGTTTGTGGTTGTGTCGTTCATCAGTGCAATAATATTACAGTTTGATTTTCTGCACGCAACCGACTGTCCTCTCATGGAAATACCACATTTTACACACAACGCAAACTATTTAAAACCTGGAATTTATATTTTCATCGACCAGAAAGCAGACGTCGAGCAATGTACGGATTTGACCAATGTAAGGGTCAGACAATTCCTTTTTCAATGCCATACAATACCATGCAATGTCATCCAGTGCGTATCGTACAGTTTGTTTTCTTACACCATTGTTGGTGGAAATTTATCTTTGCATTTGGCGTTACTTTCGTTTCGAACATTCCGATGGTTGTCAGTTTACTCGGTACGGAATTTTCAAACATAATTTATGAGTAGCACGAATTACACTTGCATTAACGGGAATCGACATGAATGTCATTAGGCCGTTGGAAATTATTATCACTTCACTCGGCTCGTGATTTTTGGTCGATTTGATGCACGAACGGTTATTGTTACGGTTGGATTACCCACAATGTTTAGATTACACCGATCGACGTAATGAATCTACATACGTGAATTACGATGCTTGTGATACATTTCGCCGTTCGTCGCTTTCTCTCCGAGATTTTGGTAACGAATGCGTTGTGTCATCTCTTCGAATCTGAATCTAATTTCACACATTTACCTTTCGCCCGACACCCGAGCAATGCCAGAAACTTATCTTGATTGCACATCGTTCAATTTTCAACGCAAATGTTTCGGGAATAATTGCGCCAATGCCCAATTGAGAGGGAAATCATTTCGGATCGCTGATGTGACGCTCGGGCATTTTGGATGCAAAACTCAGAGAATTTCCCCATGGCAATTGGCGGATTTGAAATAAATTCTAGCAAAATCTGTTTGTCGACCAAGTTTATCGCAACACATAAAATTAAAGTGAAGGCCTCGAGCATTTGTTACGGAACTCCAAAATGCACATTTTCAAAGCGCCCTGTAATCAGGAACTGTGCATTTTCCGCGTTTTTATTTACAATACAAAAGCGATGGGTGCTCAAAGTAAACCTTTCACGGCAAATAGCTACGTGTGTGTCATAATATCGTTTCATCACAGCCTTTTAGCTAATTACAAACATCAAAGCATCACATTGAGTCATACACGCAATGTGTGTATGTGAGAAATTAATGTGCATGTGCTAACAGAATTTCAAATTATATTTTTGGATTTTACATGTTTGGCGGCGCACAGAGGAAGTGATTGTTTTAGATTTCAAGCGAATGGGGCCGACCACTGTATACAAAAGCTTTAATTTCAAGTCTAATTTATTGTTATTGCCAAAGATGTATACTGGTCATTGTATTGTTCTGCAAAAGTTCCTGTAATTTAAAGCTGCTTTGTACTAAACGTGTGTATATATTTTATGAGTGGCGCCCCTTTGGATAATCGTGGTGGCCAAAGCACATTTATTTACTTTTCTAGAAAGAGAGCACACACACACAAACACACAATTTCCTATGAAGTCGACAGCATTTGGGTCCAACACTGTATGAGTTATTATTCAATTTGCTACATATATTTCACTGTACAAGATTTTGTGTCTGGTTTTGAGATTCAGTTTTCACTCTCGCTCTTTCTCTTTTTCTTTATTTCAATTCTTCCAGTACTTCTACTTGCAATCAAAGTGAAATTCCAAGCTATGGATTTGTAGTTTTAGCCATATCAATTGTTAATGGAAATTGCAATTTGAAAGTCATTTGCTTTCAACCAATGCCGAATGTGTGTGTTTGTGTGAAAATGTAAAGTTGTAAATGAACCCCGTGTCGCTGGTTGGTAAATAGACTCTAAGTCTCAAAACACACAGTTGAAATCAAAAGCAAACAACAAAACCTTTAGAAATAGTGCAAATCAATCACAGTTTTTTTGCTTCGCGTATTTTTTTCTGCACGTAAAGTCGTCCATTTGTTGATGACCGAAATCGAACTAGATTTAGCTTTCAGGGTGCCGTCCATGTTACACTCAGCAATTTATGCATATTTGATTGCACTCTCGCTCTAGTTCTACTCTCTCTCTGAACATACGCCACCGACGAGCCAATTTTTTTTCGCAAGTAACTCTCCTTTTGATCTGCATAAAACTGTTTATCCAAGTTGATCCAAACCAATTGATTTCGTCGCAAATGCCTTCGGTAGTTGGCTTTCAAATTCCACGTTGGCATGCGCACCTTATGCATAATGTGCAACAACACTCCACCGAATTGACTGTTTAGTGGATTTGAATGTGGACAGTTTGTTAATTAACAAAACTGTAAATGTGAAAGTAATCAAATTTCGATTTAAATTTATGTTACCACATGGAGAGAGAGAAAGAAAGAGCAAATCAATCGATTCCCATTATTATTTTATTGACCGCAAAAGCTACAGTGAATAATCGATCTGTTTGTTAAATTGTGCAACGAATCCAATTCGTGTGTAGTAGTTTTGAGCAATGTATTTACAAATTGGATGATTACATCAGGAGGCGATTAATTAAAAAATGTTTGATGAAAATTGATGGCGGGTGGTCATTTCAATTTTTCCATTTCCAAACAAGAAAAAAATGGGTTAATTTTCGTTGTGTGAATTATCAATTTCTCTCAGTGATTGTGATTATGTACATTATTTGGAATTTATTATTCATGCTTGATAAATGCTTCAATCAAGCTCGGCATTCCCTTGAAATGGCCATCTCTCGAGGGAGTCATCATTTTGTCTATCCGTCGTTCAATTCGGCACAGAAATATTTCAATTTGGTCGAATTCAGAACATGAACCAAAAACGAAAGGAAAAAAAAAAATTGCGGCGCAGTACGAGTTCAATAGAATAATAATAGATAATTTGTTGGAATGATTCTGTCACTCGGTTGGTTTCGAAATGGGTTATATACAGCAGCAGAAAAAAGAGTGATATTTTATGAAAGAATATGTTTTTTTTTCAAATTCAAGGCTATGACGAAATCGATGCGTCGTCTGTGCACGTTCGGCGTCGTGATTGCCAGAAACAAAATCGAATATTTGCCCGGCTGAAAGGCATAGACAGTGACAGTGACAGCAACGACATAGACAGTGCTATATCAGCCGAAATCGATTACACAAGACATTTTTATGATTATTAAAATCCATATCATTCCCCTTTTTTTCCACCTATATTTCTACCATACGAGATTCGTTTTTATAATCAATTTAATCGCATGCGACATTCTGTGCATTCTCCTTCTTCGAAATCGACCCCATCATGCATACACAGAACTGACATAGGCACCTACGAGGTGCCGGCACTTACTACCTTAGGTGCGCACCTAGTACTATTCTAAAAATAAATTTTGAGTATTTTTGAGATTGATGTAATTTTTTTTAAATAAATCTATGATATTTAGATGATAAAAAAAATCAAATTTCAAAACATCCAAAAATATTGTGAAAAAAGGTATTTTGAAATAGCATCATATGCGCACCCAAGTAAGTGCCGGCACCCCGTAGGTGCCTATGTCAGCTCTGTGCATACATAAACAAACTGGGTGAAATTTCCACTTCAAATTGTTTATGTATACACCTTTCAGCCAAACATAACAGCATACTTGCACGATATGTCCCGTATTGTATACGTCGATCCATTCCCTTATCGAACATTGTGAAATGTGACAAACGCGCATAGACTTGCATTTCCATAATCCCATTCAATCAAAATTAATAATGAAAATATATACGATATTGTAATTTATGTTGATGACAGGTGCTAAGGTTGCCAACGTTGAAACCGAATACAACGAACCGAGTCTTGTCTCTCGGTCTTTGTTTGAGGCAAGCAGAGATTGAATGTATGGAATATTTATTCATTCACAGGTTGCATTTCGGATACAATCACACGGTTCTTTTGCTCGAACGTTTTCTTTCGTGTTTCAAGCGAAAAAAAATCTCTACCAGCCTCCATTTACTACCTGCCGCAAAGATCCAACGTTTGAACAGATTGTCAAATCACTGCCTGAAGCTTGCATAATTCGAAATTTGCATGTTCGTCACTTTTAGCTACATTGAAGATACAAATTTATTCTAATGTCGTTTTGACATCGTTGTACCCTGCGATGAGCAAATCAAATTTTCATTCAACTTTACATGCAGAAGCATTAAAATTGCGGATTCTCGTGAATTAATAGTTAAGAGGTAAAAAAAAGGAAAAAATTCAAAATTCGCGCGAAAAAGAAATCACATTAACAATTCACTTGAAATACAACACTGGATTGTCTTTCTATT